GCTTCTTAGTATTACCTTAAGTACCCATCTCTCATCAGATGCACCTTGGAGGCAGCCCCACGCCGTTCTTTCTGAAGGTGGAATGTTACTTTCTGTTTGAGAGGTCGGGCAGTGTCTGCAAACATAACTAGAGCAGGTGTCCCAAAGTCCCTGCCAACAGCTGAGATGTGCAGCCCAGGGGAGAGGCACGTTTCTAAAACTGTGTAGCCTACCCTTCTTGAGCAAGTAGCAGAAGGGAGAAAGTGGGGAGGGGAGGCTTCCCAGGGCCAAAAGTTCTATGGTGACAGCCGGGATAAGGAAGGGACTCTGCTGCCGTAGGCGTTAGTGTTGGGGAACTGGATTCTACAGGAGAACAATGAGATGACAATGCTATCCTCATCGTGGTGGAGAGGGCTAGTGCTCAGGGAAAGAATGTTTAAGCCTCTGGTGGGTGGCCTAGGACGCCACCAGTCTGGCCTGAAAGGGAAGAGCCTGTGTCCCTGGAGGAAGGGTGCCCTGTGAGGAAATTGAGAACAGCTTTGAGGGCCACAGTCTGCAGTTTAAACAATCTTTAGGGATGACAAGTTTATGGAGTATTTTGGCTCTTGAGGCATCCAAACTTCATGGTGGGTCTTCAAACGCAGTCTTGGAGGGAGAATGCCTCAACACCATTGAACAGACAGATGGACTAGTTTGTCGATTGAGTCTGGTCTTATAAAAGCCAAGCCGATCTGTGGGAAAGATCTTGTTAAGGGGAAATGTCTTGGAGCCGTCAGTGGACATCAAGGCTGGGGTTCTTGTCTGGCACCTGAGAACTGCCTAGAAAGCCATGTTTGCTGTGAAGCCCTCTCCAGACTCTACACAGAGATGGTTCAAAGTCATGTACAAACAAAACTGTCCCGAAACCTGTCCTTGTTCATACAGCAAGTCTCTTAGCATCACTGAGGCCCTGGTACCCAAACATCCAAATGTCATTTTTACAGTGTGTGTTAGTACAGAGAAGTTCTTTGATGGTGTATGGTAGCGAGGAGGGGTTACAGTGATGATGAGGACCACAGACTGATTATGATCATGGTGGTGAATTACATCCAGGGCAGAAAAGGCATGGGGCAAGCCAGGTATTGGGTAGTGGTGGTTTTACACCTTCCTCTAGGCCAGCTCCCTTGGCTATCACCAGCCAGCAATACTCCAGTCCCACCTGAGTTGGAATTCTGTGATGAGATGCAAACACCATAGGCTAAAGTCCAGGTCTCTGTGACAAAGGAATTATCCTGACAGGTCTCAAGCTTACCTCCTGAGCTGGTGGCTCGAGCACACCCCAGAGGTAAACAACCTGTATCCTGGGATCTTCCATGCCTTTCCTTTGCCACGGGGCGAGCCAGACCTATAAACTCCTATCTGTAAAGCAGAATGGGAGAGCAGAAGGGACCTCTATCTGCACTGTTGTGAGATTTCCAGGCTTCCGTTTTCCTTGGATGATGAAAAGAGACCATTTAGTGCTGTCCATCTGACAGCATTTGATGGGTAAATCCTGGACAGGAGAAAGGCAGTGTGGCATGGTGGAAACTCTCAGACTGACTCCCATACTTGTGCTCTTGTTGTCAAGGTAGTGGACTTCCCAAGTTCCAGTTTCCTACTTAAGTGATCACAAACCTGCTTCGTGGGTTGTTCTCAACTGAGGAACAATAAGGCAACAGGTTTGGCACTGTACTCAACTTACCAACATCAGCCGCAGCTTGGCATTGCTGCTGTGAATTGAATGTGTGTGTTGCTCCATGTGCTTGAGGCATCGAGAGCATCTCGAGTGGCTGATGTTGGTGAGTGACATTCAGGGCACAGCTGCTTCCTAGAGGCAGGGCAGGCTGACTTAAAGAGCACTGAGTGGCCTGCGGAGAGCTTCCTGGAGTGTTTTCATATGGAGATTTTTTAAATAAAAGGGATCTGTATGGGGTGGGGAATCTCTTCCTAGGGCAACTTGAGCTGGTTTGAATTGTGGGGTGTAAGGGGAATGCAGGTTGTGGGGATGGGAGCCACTCTAGGGAGTTTGAGGTGGGGGTGTGTGAACCGCAGGAGTGCTTTAGAAGAGAGAACCAGCAGCTGGTTGAAGGAAAGGATCCAGAGGTTCGGAGTTGGGGGTGGGGGTGGGGTTTTTCTAGCAGGCACTTAACAGACAGGATTCACTCTGAGGTAGGCATCTGCAGTTAGCTGGACACAAGGGGCCGCTTATCTGGGGCAGGGATGAGAGCATCCCTCACTGAAGGCTTCAGGTGGGGCATGGCCACTCAAGGAGGGACAGACCAGCAGCTTAAGAGTCCTCCAGATGTCACTTTAGGTATATAGAATAGAGGCTGAGAGAGCCTGGGAGCCTGCCTCTCTTCCTGGGGCTCCTTCATTTATATGGAGGAGACTACCTTTGGAAGCTAGGGGGAGGGGCAAGTGGTTAGAATCCCCCAGGGGGCAAGAGGCTGCTGAATGGGTTATCTCCTGAGCTTTTGGAGCCCCGTTGTGCTCCACAGCCTGCGACTGTGCCTCTCCACACGTAGAGGCCTTGGAGGATGGGAACCTTGTAAAGTTTGTCTCCACCTCCTGGGCCAGCCCTGTATGTTGTGCTGAGCAGGTGCCCCTGGATGTTGACCTGCAGGGGGAATCCCAGCCAACTTGAGTCCTGGGCATGTCTGTCTAGCTAGTGGATTCCTTTTCCAGTGTTGCGCTGGGGGCCAGTTCCTCCTCCAGCCAGGCTGGAAGTTGCTCTACACAGCTGGGGACAGGATGAAGTCACTTCTACTACTCACCGTCGGGAGCTGGCCTGGAGACCCAGCAGACCTAGGGCTAAGAGCACTTTCAGCTCTGGACCCTGTTCTTATTTGTGGCTGTAGTGTCTGCGGCAGGGCCAGGACCTCAGTTGGTAGGGTTTCCTGTCACAGCCTGTTCCCAGGAACATTGTGGGACAAGTCTTTCTGTTTTGTGTCTCAGCCACTTGTGAGGCTGTGAGAGGCTCAAGGAATTGTCAGATCTGGGGTCGTGACTCCCGGGGCCACAGAAACCCGAGTAAGTCTTTAAGAAAAGAAAGGTCTCCAAGGCTGGGTGTGGTAGTACACTCAGAAGTGAGGGGCTCTCATAGTTCAGGCCAGCCATCATTTTTGTCGCAAAAAAACCAAAACAAAACAAAATGACAACAACAAAAAAAAAACTTTAAAGAAAATCTGCCTGAAAAGTTTCTACACCCTGATAAGCCTGTCTCCCGATGCAGCCATCCAAATCAGACCAAATCAAACAGAATTAGGAAAGCCCACGTTTAATGGATACAGCGCTTCCAGATGGCCTTCCAGCCCCCAAAGAGGAGATGGGAGAGACCAGAAAATTAGTTTCTGAGGGACAGTTTAAATATGCTGTGGGAGTGGTCGTGAACATCTCTGGGAGGAGGGGTCATCACTTGTCGGGCTGAGATGCAGCAGGGTTTGGAGGGAGATTGGGAGGGGGGCTTGGGTGGAACTTCCAGAACATTCCAGACTCTTTGGATATATGGATTCCAGTGTCTGGGGTGAAACTTCCACTATAACACTACCTGAAAGATGCATTATGGGATGGGACCGTAGCTCAGTTGGTAGACTGTTTGCCTAGCATGCATGAAGCTCTCATTTCAATTTCTAGCACTGAGTAAGTCCAGCAGAGTGGCAAAAGTCTGTGCACAGGGGACACTGACACAGGGGGATCAGAAGTTGAAAGTCGTTGGCTTCATAGGGAATCGCAGGTCAGCCTAACATAACGAGACCCTGTCTCAAAAAACCAAAACATCGTAAGGGGCTTCTCATTTACAGTAATGCTTGAGGTAAGATTCCTGTAAGTAGCAGCCCACTGGCTATTCAAATGGAATCCAGAAACTGAGGATGTAGCTCAAGTGGTACAGTGCTTGCCTAGAATCGCAAAGCCCTGAGTTCGATTCCCAGTACCACAGAAAGTGAGTGTAGTTGCCCACACGTGTAATCCCCATACTTGGGAGCTGGAGGGAGGAGAATAGTAAGTTCTAGGTCAGGCTGGGATACAGGAGACCCTGTCTCAATTCAAAAGTTCCAATAATGGAATCCAGTTGCCTAAGAGCCATTTCCATACCTCGTCTACATAACCATTCTAAGATAGAGTCCAAGAGCTGAGAGCTGCCTGGAACTCACCTACTATAACCTACTTAGTTTCCAGATGAGAGGTTCAGACAAAGGCCAGGGGAATGGGGGGGGGGTGTTTGCCCAAGTTTCTGGGTGCTCCCAAGGGCTTGGCAAGAGACGAGTGTGTGCAGGTACGTGCAGCTTTAGATAACCAGGAGCTGAACTCGGGCTTTTTGGTGCCACGTCTTCTCTGGGGACCAGAGGAATTTAGTGATGGTTGACTAATGTAGCCTTTATTAAACCAAATCTTTCCCTTCCTGGTTGCCATTAAGGTAAACTGAAGCTTGGTGTTACCTGGCAAAGCAATACCAGACAGACTCTCCAAGAACTCTTCAGGTACAGTCAAAACGCTGGCTACCTGAGCTATGACTGTAGGTCAGTGTCTCTAACTGGCCTGAGAGCTCTTGAGGCATCCACAGCATCCATTCAGTACCTACAATAAATAGGTGGTCAAAGAAATGCTCCTGGAAAGAGTGGCCTCATCTTGAACTTTCTTTTTTACTGTTGGCTTCGTTTGTTTTTTGAGATGGGGCTTTCACGGTAGCCCTGGCTTTCCTGGGACTCACTCTATAAACCAGGCTGGTTTCGAACTCCCAGAGATCCACCTGCATATGCCTCCCCAGTGCTGGGCATGCAATTCAGTACCTACAATAAATAGGTGGTCAAAGAAATGCTCCTGGAAAGAGTGGCCTCATCTTGAACTTTCTTTTTTACTGTTGGCTTCGTTTGTTTTTTGAGATGGGGCTTTCACGGTAGCCCTGGCTTTCCTGGGACTCACTCTATAAACCAGGCTGGTTTCGAACTCACAGAGATCCACCTGCCTCTGCCTCCCCAGTGCTGGGATTAAAGGCATGCGCCACCATGGCCCAGCTCATCTCTAACCTTCTAACTCTCATCTCCCTGAATGCCAAGCCGCTGTACTATTGTCTCCTATATAGTGACTGTGCTAGCCTCTGCTCCTTTCCTTCTTCACTCCTTACCCTCTCAGCACATACCACTGCCACCCTCTCTTCCTTTGTACCCTTGTCCCCCTCAGGTCAGCCACCTCGCACTTCCCTAGGGCCAGGGTGCAGGGTGGCACCCCGTCCGCCAATTGTCATAGCCGGAAAGCTGTGTGCCTCAACCCAAAGGAAGAGAATTCTGAGGAGTGGCTGAGTGAAGCTTGCATTCAGCCCCAGGTTGGGGTGCAGGAGCCCCAGCAAGAACCAGGTCCCCCAGGATTAGGGCCAACCAGGGGCCTATGGCTGTCTGAGTTTGAACCTTACAATTGTTTGGCCCTGGTTTGGGTAGACAGGGCAGGCTGAGACACAACCCAGGAGTTCTGTGATTTTTAAGAGCACAGGCAATGTCTGAGGTCTCCTTTGTGGAACTCAAACCCACAGAGCTTAGCCTGAGCTACAAAGCTCTCAGACTCGCCTAGTCGGATTCCCCTGCCAGCCTTTGGAGTATACCCAACTAGTGTCACGGGGTGCTAAAGCTGGGCTAGCACAAGGTTGCCACTGGCTAGCCTCATATTCTGTCCATTCCAGAGAAAGAAAACTGAGACACTGGCACAAGGACTTCCAGCCGATTGCCTGACCAAACCTTTCTTCAAACATTCTCAGGCTCCTCGGTTTCCATTTCAAAACTTCTGCTTCAATGTTTTTATTTTTTAGACAGTCTCACAGAACTCTGGCCGTCCTGGAACTCTCCACGTAGCTGAGGATGGCTTGGTTGTCTTTCTTGGCTGCCTCCACTTGTAGGTGTGTGTTGCTGTGAGTGCCGGTTTTACACAGAGCTAGGGACTGAATGCAGAGCTTCATGCGTGCTAGACAAGCGTTCCCAGCTGACGCACACCCCAGCCTGAGTGTCACCTTTTTGAGGGAGAACTTTTCCAAGACATTTAACTCATGCACCCCCATTTTCTTATTCTACACTAATTTCTCCAGTTGCGCTCACTACACACAATACGTTTCGTTCTGTGCCTCTCCCTCCTGCTAGACTGTGTTTCATGAGGATAGAGACTTCTGTTAGTGCTGTAGACACAGCATCTAGAACAGGCCTGGCCCATAGTAGACGTTCAGTCAATTCTTGTTGAGTGAGTGAGGGCCAGAGCTGATTTGGAGCCTGAAGTCTTGGTGGCAGCTCTGCACTCTCCACTCCTGACCTGAGTGGAGAAGGGTGAAGGTGGCTGGGAGGAGCTGGCCCTGGATCTTGGAGAAATGGACAGGTGAACATGAGCAGGAACAGGAAGACCCCTCAGGAGATGCAGCAGCCTCAGGTCTCCCCTTCAGGTGGAGGATTAGGGATGCTGTTAGAATTTATACAAACAAAAAGATTAAACAAGACAGCTTCTAAGACAAGATACATTGCTCTCGCGTTGGAAGTTCAGAGTTCATGTCGGAAGTTCAGAGTTCGGCAATGACGGTTCTGCCCTCATTAGCACGTAGCCTCATGGTCCATGATGGTGCCAGGGATTCCACCCATCAGGAAAAACAGAAGGGATAAGAAAGCCACTGTAGTTCCTCCTTTGAGGGTATTTTCCCAGAACTACACATGACTCTTCTAAGTACATTTTACTGACCTGAACTTAATCTTGTGCTGGTTTCTAGCAGCAAGGGAAGCGGGAAAGAGTACTTTCCTTTGGAAAGAGTAATTTTTATTTGACCAAAAGTAAGTAGCTACATTATAAAGAAGGAGAAATGGATACCAGGGCAGGGCTGGCAAATTCCACTGCAGTAGCTGTTTGTGGAAGCCTCAGGCTTCTTTGTCAGTCATCCTTTCCCAGGGGCACCAGGTCCTTACTGTGCAGAAGGGAAAGAGAAGTACTTCCTTTATGGCCTTAAGCTTTGATGCTTCTGACCTAACCCTGCTCAGGGCAGTCTGAGGTTTGGAGACTAGGTGTTGGGTATTCAGGGAGAAGTTCCTTTTAAGGCAGAGGCGCCAGCTTCCCCCACCTAGGCTCCTTTGCCCTCAGCTAGGCCACTGAGCCAGTTGCACTGAAATGTCCTATGAGCTGCAGCTGAGGGTGAGCACAGGGATGACCTGGGTTCTCACACTGGCCTTGGGATAGATAGGAATACCTCTCCCCCAACTCCCAGGGGCGCTCTCCTCACCTTTTGTCAATACAGATTTTCCCGAAGCCCTGGGAACCCCAAGGTTGTTCCTGTCTTGGAGCTCTCATGGCCCCTCTTCTACCAGGATAAATGTTCCTATGCTCAGCTGATAGTTTCTCGGCCAGCCCTGCTGCTCACCAGCCAGCTCCCATCTCTCTTCCACTAAGCACTTCCTTCCCGGTGTCATCCCATGCTACCCAGACTCCAGCTCCCTTTCCCAACTGCCATCCAAGCACAGTATGGTGTTGGACTTTCAGCCTCAGTTCCACATTTTCCTCCTCGGGGTGGAATGGGGCATAGAGGATGGAGAGGTTGCAGCCTTCCTCCTGAGATCCAAGGGAGGCATGTTTTCTTATAAAGCAGAGAATTGGGAGGAAGGGAAGAAGACAGTCTGAAGTACTCATAGGTCTGTGCCCCCCCCCTTGCAGGAGGGGTAGATTGCATGCCTCAGTTTACCCAAATGGGAAGCCAGGGCTAGCAACATATGGGGCTGTGTTTGTACTTTCACACTGCATAAAGCAAGCTGCTTACCAATCTGTTTGTAAAGAACATTAGTGACCCCTCGAGATTTTAATAGGCTCTCAGAGAATGTTTGGTCGATGAGTTTAATACTTGCTCTGTGAATAAAAGGGAAACCATGATGCAAAAGTTGGGGAATTGCCACTTACTGTACCCTTCATTGAAGCACAGTACCAGATACAATCTGTCTCTTTTTGGGGGACGTGGGGTAGGATTCAAGATGGGTTTCTCTTTGTAGCCCTGGTTATCCTGGAACTTTCTATAGACTAGACTGGCATCAAATGCAGAGATCCACCTGCCTTCGCCTCTGAGTGCTGGGACTAAAGTTGTACACCACCATGGCTGGTTCTCTTAATACAGTCTCTTAAGTTTCCTTTCCTACTGACCTGACTGTAGCCCAGCACACATCTTATATTCTAGCATTGAACAGAAAATTTTTGTTTCTTCTCTTTAAGACAACATGTACATTGCTGGGCACAGTGGTGCTTGCCTTTAATCCCAACATTTGGGAGGCAGAGGCAGGCAGATCTCTGTGAATTTGAGACCAGCTTAGTTGACATAGGCTGACCAAGGATACAGTGAGACCCTGTACACACACACACACACACACACACACACACACACACACACACACACACACATTGGGTAGGGTGAGATTTTGAGAAGCATTCAGGCTCCCTTAGGACACTTGGGATGTGGGACATTCAGTATAAATTCCAGACAATCTGTAAAGACCTGGACCACACTGCAAAGTCATCAGTGAAAACACCAAGTACTGAGCTAGGTGTGGTTGAGCAAGACTTTGGAAAAATGAAAATGAAACCCCAGAGGCCTGCCTCCTCTTCAAGAGGGTTTCTAGGAAGTCATGTGGGAGCTTGTGGCTTATGAAGTTGTCTGAACCAGGTACCTGGGAACAAGTTAAGAAGGCTTGGAGCATTCCCTGGATGTTATCCAGGCTTGCTCCTTAAACAGAGGTGGGAAGTGCTACTAAAAGAAGTAGGGTTTGGGGACTGGGGACTGGGGATGCAGTTCAGTTGGTAGAATGCTTGCTGGGAACAAAAGCCCCAGGTTTAATCTTCAGTATATAAGACTAACAGCCCATCCTCTGCATCCTCCTTGGCGAGAGGAGCATACACTTGTAATCCCAGCACCAGGGGAGTGGAGGCAGGAGGATCGAAGCTGGAGAGATGGCTCAATGGTTAAAAGCACTGACTGTTCTTCCAGAGGACCTGGGTTCAATTCCCAGCACCCACATGGCCGCTCATACCTATCTGTTAATACCAACCTCTGACACCCTCACACAGACATACACGCAGGCAAAACACCAATTATTAAAAATAATTTTAAAAATTCAAAGTTTGAGGGCTGCCTAATCTGCACATGACTTTGTCATTAAAACAAACAAACAAAACAAAACTGTACTTCTGATGCTTGTTCTTTCAAGTTCATTGCCTGCAGACAGTTTTCTGTTGCCCCTGGCTCCAGTTTCCCTGGCTTGCCTCCCACCCCAATTCTTGTAACACCTCTTGTCCCAGGTGTCAGAGGAGGGGACATTCTGGAGGACATGCTGTTGGCTTCCCAACCCATAGTAGCTCTAGCCAGTTGGTTAAGCACATCTCTGGCTAAGCCAAAAGGTAGCCACAGGGAACGTCCACTAGCTTTCGTCCACTAGCTTGCGTCTGCCTTCCTAGCAACAGCTGTCCCTTAAGCCCCTGTCCCAAGTGAGACAATGAGCTAGGAGTGCCCCTTGCTCAGGTAGGTTGAGTCCCCACCCCAGCCCAAATGCAAACAAAGTGCAGTTTCCCTGCTGTCTCCCTTGCCTGTTGGGTCACAGTCCAGCTTGGAGCACCCCACAAACTTTCTTCTCATTATAAGGTCACCCCCGCCTCTGGCCTTATAATGCTTATTTGTGGCCTCAGGGGCTAAGGCCCTGGAGAGCTTGTGCTGTGGTTCCTCATCTGTTCTTCCTCTCCTGGCCTTCCTGGGGTGGGGATACACACTTAGGCAGGGAACATTTTCTGACTTTACCTCCAGGGCCCTGGAGGAACCTGGGAGTTCTGTATACACACAGAGCATTCACAATGACGGATTCCAGGACACCTTAGGACAATCACAGATCCGTGCCAGCCGCAGCTCTCTCTGGGCCCTCTAACTCCAGCTATGGCTGTGCTTGTGCGTTGTGCGGGTGTGTGTGACGGAGGGGTGTGGTAGGCAGGTCATCTGAGCTCAGGACTGAACTATGGAGCAGGGAGAAAGAGAAGACTTTCTGCCGAAGAGGCTGCACCTGGAGGTGCAGCCTGGAGCTGGTGGTGGCCTTGGTTTTCTCATCTGCAAATAAGGAACTGACTGAGAAGCTCTTGGGTCATCTTTTCAGTTCACTCTGACTCATCCAATGATTTGGATTAATTTGTGGGGGCAGCCCAGGGGCATCTGTGTAGCTGCTGTCTTGAGGTCCTGTGGATGCCTGCAGGGTAAGTGTCTGAATTCTGGACGGTTCGAGATGCTGCAGACTTATGTATCACAGTGGAAGACATGAGAGCTTCCCCAGAGTGTCATGGAAGCCTCCCTCCTACTCATTGTGGGTCAGATGGATTC